CTTCCATCTCTACACGACTCATGCGGAAAGGGGTAACTAAAATCGGTTGGGTGCTAGGCTAAAAATCTATGGTAAACTCAACTTTCCTATCCATTAACTGTTCAGGTAGTTCATCAGGAAATACATCATGAAATTCTCGAACCATAGAGATATCTTGAATACAAATTTCTTTTTTAGCTTTGCCTAATGTAGAAAAGACAACCGAGTTAGAACGTCATATAAATAATGCAATTGCTATGAATGAATAATATCTAAAAATTTTATTAATTTGTGAATAACTCTTCATTAAAAAAATTGAATACAAGCTTCTTATGGAAACAGTTTATGGTAGCGTCATACGCTGCTAATTAGTTCATCCCCCGTGTCTATTTATATTATGTCTACACTCAATTTTCTATCTACTATTTTTATGATACAAGTTTTGTATGAGACTTCCCCTAGTAGTATCTCTTTTCTAAGAGTAGACACAAACAACACAAAATCAAGATTCTCAGGTAACACATTCAATTTTTTTATAAAAGCATGTGAGACAAAAGAATGTGAAGTATCAGTATCAATCAAAATATGTGCAAGATGATTACAGATAGTGTACATACCCTATATCATGTCCAGGTTAGCTTCAACATCCTACTGGGTGAGGGTGTAAGCTCTGGCCTAGATAGAAGGTCTGGCCTAATTCTGATTTCGTGGGCACTTTCTCGCGTAGTGTTGGGTATTTCCATCTATGCGGCAGATATTATTAAGATGATAGCATGGTCGGTCTCCATGATCCTTACCACAGTACTGACAAGTCCTACTATGTCCTGTTACTAGAGCCTAAGAAGGAGCTTGAGTCACAAGCCTAGGTCTCTTGTTTTACTGAATCAGTACAATAGGTGATGGTCTGCAGTGTGGGACTGGGGGTTTGGAATTTTCCACTGCTGGAGGGAAGATACAAAAGTTCCTCTCTATTAGTTTTGCCTTGGCAGAACTACTGAGTAAGTGCTAAACTTGAATACATACAGCTATTACCTGATTTCAGGATAGAGGCCCCATTTAAATTTCTTCGCCTTTTTGCCTTCATCCATCATACTCTCAGAAGAATACCAGCCTACCTCTAGGAACTTTCGGGCATATTTATCACTGTCATATCATCTTGGACCAAGTGTGCAAACTCCATTTTCTTTAGATGCCGAAGATGCTCTGAGAGATACTCTGCATTGAAGACTACTAGAAACTGTTTTTAAGTGACTAAAATGGGCAAGGTGGCCTGCTTCAGCTGCCACCAGTGACCTGTCTCACCCACGAGCATGTAGGTGGCAAGTACAACCTTCTGTTCGAGAACCACCCTGAGAGTCGCGAATGCCTTCTTTATCTCTGCTAATCAATACTCGGTCTTTTCGAAGGAGAATACTCTTATAAAGGTGAATGAGTTTAGTCTCTCACATCTCTTAATGTAGCCTGGATCCATAATGGGTGGAACTGGGTCCTGTTGAAGAGGGATTGGATTGTGTTGGGGAGGGACCGGCTAGTCCTGTGGCGGCACCTGGTTGTATGGTAGGGGCACCAGATTGTACTATGATGGTGCCGGATGATATGGTGGAGAAGCAGGGCTATATTGGGATGGCACTAGATCTTCTCATTATAGGGGTGACTCAAAATATGGCAGTGGTGGAGGGTCAGACAACTCCCTCCTTTCTTTTCGAGCTTATTGGGTGGAGATAAGTCTCTCCACCATTTCAAAGAGTCGATCGACATCCTCTCGAAGTAACCCATCTTAGGCTGCTCGGTTCAATGGGGGGTCTTCATCTCCTCATATCCTTGTACCTACATTTCACAAGAAAGCATTGAGTGTCAGGTTACATTATAGTATTTTAAATCTTTGTGTAAGAAATGGTTTCGAGGAACGCGACTCTAATACCAACTGTAAAAGCCCAAACCTAAAAGAAATGAAAATATTGAATTATAGCAACTATAAGCAGAGATAATTTAGAATTTATGGTTTACATTTCTTACATAGTAAATTAGAATGCCCAATAAGGTTACGAGAATATTTCTTTCATAACAGTTCATAACAATAAAATAAATTATTAAAATTAACGAGATAGAAATCCTATGGGGTTAACCTCCGCTGGACAACTCTGATAAGCTCTAAGAGGTAACCTTTACTCGCAACTCTCCTGCTGTTAAAAATTTGGGTCTTGGTCTTCTTGATCAGAAATGGTTAAAAAAGAGAATGAGCTACACTAACCCAATAAAAATATCACACTTATCACTGATACGAAAAATTGAAGGTTAGTAAAAAATTATAAAACAACTCATTGAGTCATTACTTTAGATAAATTCATTTAACATAAAAATCGTTTATTCCATACTTACCCGTATGAGTTTCCAAAATCGACTTATAAAAATAATAACTCGAATAACTTTTATGATTTTATATCCAATGAGCAAGAATAACAACTTACCTATTTATCAGTACCTCTAGAGGTCTATAAGGATCCCTCCTATGCGTGGGCCTAATATTCAAGTTATCGATTAACCAACCGTTCCTATACTCCGTATGGTAATGGACACTAAAACATACCACCGCTTTAATACCCCATCTGGTATAAGGGTAAATTATACCTCCCAACTCCTTCCGATATGAGACTTCTCAATCTCGTTCGACTGAGATAATGTCCACAGTAGAGTTTTTTTTATGTATTGGGTCCGTACACTCTTCCTTAGGGTACCTGGTAAACCTTTCATATATAGATTCATATCATCAGTCGATCCACCAGTCACATACCAACATCACATTTTTATCAATCAATAGTAAGTCATGTAAATAGATAACACGTAAACCAATCAACAGTAAGTCATGCAATTAGACAACCCGCAAATCAAAAAAACATAATTAGGACATTTATTGCAAATAAATCAACAGATGAGGGCAACGCAGTTAGGTAAACTAAATAATTGAGAAAATAATTAAAACTAGTAATTTAAAGCACACAATATAACAGTAAGCATTTTAGGCAGTATAGGAGAAAATAAACAATAGGCTAGGGCAAATATACACTAACCAGTTTCGGCTCCACTAATGACTTGTAATTAATTTTAGAATTTTTTAATTTTTATACAACACAATATTATTAATTATTAAGCTTGAATTTACCATAACAGAGAAAATAGCGAGAGATTCTTATCCCGAATCGGTATCCGAAATACTGTACTTTTCACTGCACCTCTTAGCGGTCTCAGAGTTTCCTAAATTTTTCTTGTAAAAATTAAAAATACCTGTCACGTATCCAAAAATACTCTAAAAGGACAAAATAGCCGTTTTAAAACTTTTCCAGCTAATTTAGGGTTTCGACACGGTGGCGTCGGCTTCGCCACCCATATTGGTGGTTCCTCTCGGCCTGACCATTTTCGGCCGTTATAGGTCGGTTTTGGCCGATTTTGCATGAAAACCTGCGAAAAACTAAGTTAAGGGGCCTCTGTTGGCCAAAAAAGGTAAAAACCAAAACCCTACCAGTAGAGGGTCTTGGTGCGGTGGCTCCCCCGTTCCTCCTTCGCGATCGAGGTTCTCCTTCGGCTAACCTGCATCAGAAAAGGACGGAGAATACAACGATAAAAAAATCATGCAAAACGGGAAACAAGAAAGGGTCATCAGAGAGGGTTTTGGAATTTTGCTACAGCGGTTCAGCCAAGCTTTGTTCGTGTTTTTCGGCTCACCCGTAGCCCTTTTGGCTCCGATATGATCATAGAAAAATTCGAGATTGAATTCCAAGCGGGAAGGGGGGAGAAAAAATACTTATTCGACATCGGCGGTGGCTCCGGTACGGCGGCGACGACGGTCGGTTTATTTTTCAGCCGCCCTTCTTATTCTTCTCCGACGAGGACTAGTGTGGATAGGGTTAAGGTTTCCTGAAATGCGATGTTTAAATACTTTCTCCGAGTCGATTTGGGCTATCCGTGTGGGGACACGTGGCCCTCTTCTGTCTGTTGGATCCCTCTTTTTCGGTAAATGAATCTAGGCTGTACGATCGGATTGAATCTGACTGTCCGATCGTGCTTGAAGGAGAAACATATCTGGGCCGTCCATGCGCACGGGATGTGATCTGGGCCGTTGGATTTGTGGGCACATGGATTGCCAGTGTGGCCTCCCACATAGAATCGGTGTACGTGTGTTCGTCATACAACGTGTTCTGAGTCGTCGTTGCTGCTGACATGGCCGTCCCACATGACTGTATTTTTTTATGATTTTACCCCTATTTTTAAATTTTCTTTCAAAAATACCATATTATTCACAGTTTCAACCATTTTTTCCGAATTATTTTCAATTTCGTACATAATTCTATTTTCTTAAAAATTTTCACAAAAACTAAAATAAAATAAGATTAAATTAATTAAATGTATAATTTTATTAATTATAAAATTATTCCGAGCTAAATTTTCGGGACTGGGTATTATAAAATTAAATAAAATTTCATGGATGTATTTGTATGCAAAACTAATATTTTAACTAAAAAATAATTAATGCTATTTTTATACCTAAACATCAAAACTTCTATATAATAATTAATATTAATATTATAGTGCTACTAGAAATTCTCGAAGCCTAATAGATAAGTTAAAATTTAAAATATATGGAAATAATCTCAACTATTAATGAATGTGGGTTAAAACCTTACTAATTAAAAATCTCAAGGTAGAGCTTCATACCATAAGTGCAAATATGTAGCTTGTAATACAAATAAACCTAACTATATATCATGGATGCATGTGAAGCATTGAAAGGTCAACCGAGAACCACATATTTAATTTCAATATAGCACATATTAAGCTGTGATGATTTTGTTTTGGTGGGAATTGGGTTGCCTTCTTCACATGTTTGGATCTAGCCGCTTGAAATTAAGGATGGTCAATTTTACAATTCACAAATTCAGTAAATTTTGGATAATTATAATCTTCAATATCCATAATCTTACTAAAAAGTATTACATTACATAGAAGCTTAAAAAACAATTGAAATCAACTAGAAATGTTAAGGTTTGAAACTTTGGAGCTGAAAATAGGAGAGAAATTATCATAAATTCTTGTACTTGTGCAAGTAATCCTTTTGGGTTTTGTAAGATGAGAATGTCACAGCTGTTTTGTCTTACTAAATTGGTTTTTCTCGGAGGAAGAAGATGGCAATCTCGGGTGTTTACGTTTATATATATGTAGGTAGCATGTTTTGTCTAGGTGGGAGGTTTAGCTGTATACCCAATTCTCTAGTTCTCTTCTTCCCATTTTCCTCCTTCCTATCTCCCATACACATTACTCTCTCTTTCTCCTTCTCTCATCGAATCAAGGCAATATTTGGAAGAGAGAGGTAGACACATGCCATTGGGCTTTTGGCTTTGCTTTCTCTCCCATTTACCCACCTCAATACTCTCTGGACTTTCCTTGCTTCCTTTTTAATCTGCTTCTATCTTCCCAATCCTTTCAACACCTTCTTCACATCAAAGCATAGGGATTTAAGATACAGACTTCAAGATTTAAGGGTTTTGTTGCAAGTCCACAATAGCTTCGTCCTTCTCTTTGACAAAACCCTTTGATTTTACTTTATAATGCATTCGAGCTTGTAGATTTTATTGGCTTTTCAATATCGGATGCATTTGATTTGTATCTTACCAAAGTTTTGATTTCTTCTCATTTGTATATGTGTGTCTAAGCAATTTCTTTGAGGATTAGGGTTTCTTTGTTGCTGGGTTTCTTTCCTGTTTGTCTTCCTTGGATTTAGGTTTTTGAGGTTCAGTTATATACCGATGCTTCTTCAGTTTTTGTAGGATTTAGGAATCGGGTTGAAGGGGGTTGGTGTGTTTCTATATTAAATTTGATTGAGATATGAGCCGTAGGGTTCGGCGAAAAATATCAAGGAAGGGCAAGGATAAGTTGGTTTTGCCAGGTTATCAAGAAATTGAGGATGAGATTTTGAGTTCTGAGGTCAATGGAGTCGTCGATTGGACTAGCTTGCCCGATGATACAGTGATTCAGTTATTTTCTTGTCTGAATTATCGCGACAGAGCAAGCTTGTCATCTACATGTAGGACATGGAGAGCTTTAGGAGCTTCTCCTTGTCTATGGAATTCTTTGGATCTTCGTGCGCACAAATTTGATGTTTCCATAACAGCTTCTCTAGCATCAAGATGTTCCAATCTTCAGAAGCTTAGGTTTCGTGGAGCTGACTCTGCGGATGCAATAATTCATCTTCAAGCTAGAAACTTACGTGAAATAAGTGGTGATTACTGCAGGAAAATAACTGATGCTACTTTATCCGTGATTGTGGCTCGGCATGAGGTTCTTGAGAGCCTCCAGCTTGGGCCAGATTTCTGTGAGAGAATCAGTAGTGATGCAATAAAAGCAATAGCTCTTTGCTGTCCAAACTTGAAGAAACTTCGGCTATCTGGAATAAGAGATGTTTTCGCTGATGCTATCAATGCATTGGCTAGGCATTGTCCAAATCTGACTGACATAGGATTCTTGGACTGTCTGAATGTTGATGAGGTTGCATTAGGAAATGTTGTATCAGTTCGTTTCCTTTCCGTTGCCGGGACATCAAATATGAAGTGGGGGGTTGTTTCACATCTTTGGCACAAGCTGCCTAAATTGACTGGTTTGGATGTTTCAAGAACTGATATTGGTTCCACTGCTGTTTCTAGGTTGTTGGCATCCTCTCAAAGCTTGAAAGTTTTTTGTGCCTTGAATTGCCCTGCTCTTGAAGAGGACAACAGCTTTACTACCAGTAGAAACAAAGGAAAATTGTTACTTGCATTATTTACTGATATTTTTAAAGGACTATCTTCATTATTTGCCGATACCACAAAGAAGGGAAGGAACGTGTTTTTTAATTGGAGGAATTCAAGGAACAAGGACAAAAACATAGATGAGATTATGACTTGGCTTGAATGGATCTTGTCCCATACTCTTCTGCGAACTGCTGAGAGCAATCCACAAGGTCTAGATAATTTCTGGCTAAAGCAAGGGGCTGCACTGTTGCTTAGTTTAATGCAGAGCTCCCAAGAGGATGTTCAAGAGAGGGCAGCCACTGGACTTGCAACTTTCGTTGTTATTGATGATGAAAATGCTAGCATAGATTGTGGAAGAGCGGAGGCAGTTATGCGAGATGGTGGCATTCGCCTTCTTTTGGACCTTGCAAAATCTTGGAGAGAAGGGCTTCAGTCAGAGGCTGCAAAAGTATGCTTATTCTTTTGGGATGGGCAGGGAAAAGGGAGAGGAAATATTTCATTTTATAGCTTGATTTCTGTAGGAAATGAAACATAACTAAATCATTCATTTTGTTAAAACTGTAGGCTATAGCAAACTTGTCTGTGAATGCCAATGTTGCAAAGGCTGTTGCAGAAGAGGGGGGCATCAATATCCTTGCTGGTCTGGCGAGGTCAACAAACAGATTGGTTGCTGAAGAGGCGGCTGGTGGATTATGGAATCTCTCAGTTGGAGAGGAACATAAGGTTAAATAGTTTTTCTACCAATTGCTCTATTCCCACGTGGCATGTCCTCATATTTACTATTCCTTGTAGTAACTCTTATTTATTCTTAAATCAGAGCGCTATTGCTGAGGCTGGTGGTGTGAAAGCATTAGTTGACCTTATATTCAAATGGTCTTCTGGAGGTGATGGTGTTCTGGTAATTTCCTTTTCAGCATGTACTACGTCATGTAATGCTGTCTTTTCTGGAATATATTCGATAAAGTCCTCTTGCTGTGGGATTAACTTAGTGGGTTAATTTCATTTGTGTTTCCAGGAACGTGCAGCCGGTGCATTAGCAAATTTGGCAGCTGATGACAAGTGTAGTATGGAAGTTGCAGTTGCAGGAGGTGTACATGCACTAGTGATGCTTGCTCGAAACTGCAAGATTGAAGGAGTGCAAGAGCAGGTGCTTCCTTACCATCACTTGGGAATTTGTATTATTTCTGCTTTGTGATGTCACCACATGCATTTTATTAAATTTGGTTTTTGGAATATGAAGTAACTTATGATATATCTAAATCTGTTGGAATCGTCGGATTATTACATCTTTGATATATTCACTACATTCTTAAGCTCCTCATGAAAAAGGGTTAATGAAGGCACCCCTGGAGTCACCTCAAAAGTATTTTGCACATTATTAATTAGAAGTTTAGATCACAAGCACACTTCTATTTTTTAAGAAAAAGAGTTTAGATCACAACCATAGTGGTCTTTTTGTAGTTTATATACTGACGTAAGCACTCTCTGGTTCAGGTGACTGGTAGGTCCCATCTTGCTAATGAAATTATGATCTTTATTATTGCGATGAAGAACCTATATAGGTTTTGGATTCTTTTCTGCTTTATAAGATGCGCAAAAAGTAGTTTTCATTTCTGGTATGCATTGTGGAGGAATTCAGGGAACTACATAAATAAAAAAGAACTAAGTTCAGGGAACCATTTATTTCAAAAACAAAATCAGTGAACCACATTACATATAGTTGTACTGGACTATAATTTGTTTTCTCTCTTTCTATGCACATTTACTCTTCTCCATGTGTATATAGTGCATCTATTTGCAGTGTGTTTTTCACTTGATTTTTGTAACTTAATTGAGGTGAATTCTGATATTTCTAGGCTGCTCGTGCCTTGGCCAATTTGGCTGCTCATGGTGATAGTAACAGTAACAACGCTGCTGTTGGACAAGAGGCAGGTGCTCTTGAAGCCCTTGTTCAACTTACACGCTCTCCCCACGAAGGTGTCAGGTAGCTCATAAAAGGTTCTATAACTTGGCTGTTTTCAACTGCCGTTACACGTGTTCAATTAAAATTTTTCTTTCTTTTCGATTAGAAAACACAATTACTGAGCATGTCACGTTTGGTGCAATGAGATGTGGATGGAATGCGTGCAATATGATGTACACCAAACTCTTGTCATCTTTCAATTAAAGCATAATTCAATTTTTCATATTCTTTTTCAGGAACGTGTTTTATGAACTTTTAAGCAGACTACGTTAATTTTCCAAAAAAAAGAGGGGATTGTCTGGTTTTGTCTTGCCCTTTAGACATCTGGACAACTGTCCGTTCCATTGAAGCTGTATTTTCTTCTGATTGCTGAAGATGTGATTTTATGTTGAACAATTAGAGGCTCAGATTTACTGAATCTTTCTTTTATGATTTTATACCTTTTAAGAATAATTATTATCATATCCATTTTTCTTTGTTAGCAACAATTTTACCGTGCACAAGTTAGTTTTTATTGGCAAAGTTATATGTGATGCATAATTCTAGTATCAAATTTTGGTTACAGCTCGGGTTGAGAATATTAATGGAGAGTGTAGGTTTCCTATGAACAAAACAAAGAAGTTAAGTAACAAATTATGCAAATTCTTACTGATGTCCATACACTTTTAGCCACTATATT